TGCGTTGTCAGCTCTGGCCGTTTAAGGGTTGGCCGAGTTAGTGCGCGGGCGTTCTGACCATTGAGAGTTTGGCTGGGTGATGCATGTTGCGCCGTGTGCGTTGTGTGGTGTGCCATGCAATGCATGTCGTGCAATGTGTGTTGAACGACTAAGTGCAAAAAATTATGTCTTTATTGATCTTGAACTACTGGTAGTACATTCATAGGTTCCCAGTATTCCACTCCTCGGTATAGGCCTTCCATCAAGGTCTTCTAATCTGTAGGTACCGAGTCCGAGGACTTTGGTGACTCTGTACCGTTCTTCCCAGTTCGGTCCGAGCTTTCCTTCTCCTGTCGTGGGTTGTATTATTTTGCGAAAAATGAGGTCGCCAATCTTGAGTTATCTTCTTTGGACTTTGGAGTCGTAGTACTTAGCCATTCCTTGTTGTTGTGTTGCCATCTTGAGGTATGTTTTGTCCCATGCTTCCTCCACTAGGTCGAGCTCTGCGCAGAGGTTTTTGTTGTTATGCTCCTCGTTGTAGAACTCGGCCTAGAGAGTTGGCGAGCCTATCTCTACGAGGATCATGGCTTCTACCCCATATGCAAGGTTAAATGGCGTATCTCCAGTAGTTGTTCGCGGTGTAGTCCTATACACTGTGCAGTAGGGTTCTGTTGGTCATTTCAGTCTATCCATTGCTTTGAGGTCGGTGAGTGGTCGTAGTCCAATGATTGATCTTCAGGTCGGCGCACAAGGCTCCAAACTTGCAGTCAGTGAATTGTGCGCCCTTGTCGATGATGAGGACCCAAGGTATGCTAAACCGATAGACAATACCTTGCTAGAAGAAATTTGGGCATTCTGTGCGGTAATGTGTGTTAGGGCCTTGGCTTCCACCCACTTGATGAAATAGTTCACTACAACCAAGAGAAACTTCTTTTGCCCAACCGTAGTAGGGAAAGGGTCGAGGATATCCATTACCCATTGCGCGAAGGGCCACAGGCTAATGATCGACTTCAAGGGGACCGCTGGCTAGTGATGGAGGTTGGAATGCCTTTGACAGCGGTTGCACTTTCTGATGAGCTAGGCTGCATGTTGCTTCATGGTTGGTCAGAAGTAACCATGCCGGAGTGCCTTGTGAGCCAAAGTTCTGGCATCGGGGTGATTTCTATAGATACCTTCATGTATCTCCCTGAGGACAAAGTCGGCCTCAGAAGGGGGGAGACACCTCAGGTAGGGGAGAGTATGTGATCGACAGTAGAATTGTCCCTAGATGAGGCAATATCTAGCTGCCTTGTGTGCAAGTCTTTTGGCTTCGGCTCGGTCTTTTGGTAGCGTGCCATCTTGTAGGTACTGTACTATGGTGTCCTTCCAGGATGGACCTTGCTGAACTAGAAGGACAAGGAAGGCCATTGGTGCAATGCTAGGCTGAGCCAACGTGTCCATCCGCACTGTTGAGTGGAGGTCAGTTTGTGGCGAGCTAGCTAGCTTTGAGAGTGTGTCACTCGGATGTTTTCGGCTCGGAGAATCTACTGAATGGTGAAGTGATTGAGCCATTGAATGAGATCTGGCACCCTTTATAGGTAGCTCACCATAGTTGGGGTCCATGCTTCGAACGGGTCATGGATCTGGTTGACCACCAGCCGAGAGTCACTGAAGGCTTTGACTTGTCGAGCACCGGGGTCTAGGGCAAGTCGAAGTCCGGCGATTAGGGCTTCGTACTTAGGTTTCTTGTTAAAGGCCTTGAATTCAAACTTGAGGGTGTGCTCTAGTACTGTGGGTGAAGGAGGACGAGGCCAGCCCCGTTACCTTGCTTGTTGGATGAATTATCCACATGGAGAGTCCATATCTGTTGTGCTGGGGCTGGGTCTTGGATTGTAAATGTGCACTCTAATAGAAAGTCAGCTAAGGCTTGGGCCTTGATGGCGGACCGAGGCGCGTAGTTGATGTCGATCTTGCTCAGCTCCATACTCCATTTGGCTAGGCAACCAGATGCTTCCGACCTTGGTAGAACTTGCTTGAGAGGTTGGTCGATAAGAACTCAGACGTTGTAGGTTTGGAAGTATGGCCTGTGCATCCTTGGCAAGATGACTAGGGCCTAGACTACCTTCTCTATATTTGTGTACCGGGTTTTTGCGTCGTTGAGAACCTTGCTGGTGTAGTAGATCGGCCTTTGTACCCAGTCTTCCTCCTTGACCAGCACTGAGTTGACCACCTTGTCTCCGGTCGAGAGATAGAGTAACAACTCATTCCTAGGGTTCGGATTTGCGAGGAAAGGTGGCGAACTCAGATAACTTTTCAACTCTTGAAAAGATCGTTCACATTCCTTGGTCCATTGGAAGTCTTTATCTTCTTTAGGGACTTAAAGAAGGGCAAACATCCGTATGCAGACTTTGACATCAACCTATTGAGGGTGGTTACTTGTCTGGTGAGGCGTTGCAGTTCTTTGTAGGTCTAGGGTGATTGCATGTCGAGGATGGTCTGGATCTTCTCCGAATTAGCTTAAATTCCTCTCTACGTAACCATGAACCCTAGAAATTTGTTAAAACCGACCCCAAAAGCACATTTTGTCGGGTTCAGCTTCATTTTGTACTTTTTGAGGGTGATGGAGACTTCCTTGAGGCCGGCTAGGTGGTGCTCGGCCTTCTTGCTCTTTACCAACATGCCGTCCACGTAAGCTTCTACGTTGCGACCGAGCTGATCTCTAAACACCTCATTCACCAGCCGCTGATAAGTAGCACTGACATTCTTGAGGCCGAAGGGCATAGCCTTGTAACAGTACAGTCTGCGGTCGATGATGAAGGCAGTCTTCTCCTGGTCGTTGGGATACATTTGGATCTGATTGTAGCATAAGAACGCATCCATGGAGCTTAGAAGTACGTGCTTCGCGTGTAGTCTAATTGCTTGGCTGAAAAATGGGTTGATTTCTTGTTGCTATTAGGAGAAGATCCCTATGTTCCACCAGAGAAGATCCACGGGAACTTGGTTTCCAGATCTGCCGGAGAAGGAGAAGGTGTTTACCAGAGGATTTTCTATGCTGCCGATGGGTTTGTTGCTTGCTACTAGTGGATTTGTTGCTTGCCACCAGAGAAGAGAAGAGCCTTGTATTCTTGAACTAGGGCTTGGGTGAAAATGGGGGGAGAGAGGGAGTTGAAACGAAAGAAGAAGAGCCTTGTATTCTTCCTAATTGGTTGATTTTGTCTTTAACCAACTTGCCCGGTTCCCTCCTGGTTCAAATGATTTTGTCTCTAAAGGAGCGACGTGGATGCCTCCTATTGGAGGGTTCACACGCCCTGTGAACTAAGGGGTTTACTGAATCCGCTCTCCAATTTACCGTGATCAGTGAAAGATGAAGCATGAAAGAAGCCAAAAAAACATAAGCGTGTGAATATCAACCCAATCCTCATGCATCATTTATTCGGACGATACAACCAAAATTAAATGTATATACCATTTATTGCATGAATAGAAGACCACATCGCCCAATGAAGACCCTTCCCATTTTAATATATACTAGTGGAGGGGGCCCTGCGTTGTAGGAGTTTGTTTATAAACTATCAGGCTCGAGCTTGATTCAAATTAGAGACTTGAGCTCGAGCTCGACTACCTTTGATTGCAGGTCTCTCAAGCAGTCGAGGTGCCAAGCCGAAGTCTCCCTCAATTGCTGAGGTGCCAAAACGAGGTCTCCCTCAGCTGCTGAAGTGTCGAGCTGAGGTTTCCCTAGCAGGCGAGGTGTCGAGCTAAGGTCTCCCTTAGTTGACAAGGTGCCGAGCTGAGGTCTACCTCAGTTATCGAGGTGCTGAGTCGAGATCTCCCTCAATGACCGAGGTGCTGGGCCAAGGTCAGCCTCAGTGGTCGAGGTGTCATCTAGCTCAAGTTTGATTCGAATTAAAGACTTGAGCTTGAGCTCAGAAGCTTGAGGTTGGCTCGGCTCGAACTCAACTATCTTTGATTGTAGGCCCCCTAGCAACCGAGATGCCGAGTTGAGGTTTCTCTCAGTTGGAGAGAGAGTAGCATTCTTGTAATTTATAAGGAGATAGATGGCATTCTTGTAATTTGGTAGAAAGAGAGAGAGAGAGAGCTGGTAGGAGAGAGAGTGTCATTCCTATAATTTGAAAGAAAAAAGAAAGCAAAAGGTAGAGAGTGGCATTCTTGTAATTTTTATGAAAAAGGCAAAAAATAATGTTAGATTCCATTTCCCTCATCCTCAAGCCTTTTCACGTACACATTTCAGCTTAATATATTTATATAGATGTTAGAGACTGACCTCGTACTAATTATGAAGCAATTACAATATCATTTAGTTTTAAATTTACTATTTAATAATAAAAATAGATTAAAAAAATTAATATGGGCATTACATCTTTGTATTCACAATATATTATGACCTATTTTGTTTGAAAATCACTATTAATTTATATTATTTTTAATATGATTTAAGAGTTTAAATGAGGTCTTATTTGTAAATAGTAACCCACTTTAATTGGTGTTTGCTTTTTATTTGATAAATTTGTTATGAGTTTTATTTTGTGTTTTTTTTTGATAAATAGCCACGTTTGTATGATTTGAAAGTGGATTGAATGTGTTCTAAATAAATCACTTATAAGCTAGTTATTCTATTTCAAAGTAGAATTAACCACTTATGAGATCATCTTTTCTTAAAAATTGAAGTGCTACATGTTTGAATGGGAGTTGACTGAATGTATTTGAATAAACCACTTCTAAGGTAGTTATTCTATTTGAAAGTAAAATTAATTATTTCCGAAACCCATTTTTCTAAAAAATTAAAATACCACATGTCTAATGAGAGGGATTATTGATTAACAATTAACCTATATTTAAGGCCCAGTTTGGTTCATAACAGGGGTTCGGAATCGGAATCGGAATAGACTGGTTGGGCGGAATCGAAATCCGATTCCCATTCCGGGCGGAATGGCAATTCACCGTGAATGGCCATTCCCGACCCACCTCGCTTCTTAAAATAATAAAAAATAAAATGACAAAAAAGCCCCCAAACCTTTTCTCACTACCCGATTCCAAGTTAAAACCTTCTCATCCTCTCTCTCTCTCTCTCTCTCTCTCTCCTTGCAGTGAAGTTTGAAGAACGGATTTGGATCGAAGCTCCGGCGACGGCAAGGTAAGTCATCATCGATTTTGTTCTGTCTCCTCTCCTCCTTTTCTTCTTCCTCTTCTTCTCTCTTAGACTCATTTTCATTCCTCCCCTGTTTTTCTACTGCAGACCAGACCAGAGCACGGTGAGGTAAGTTTTCCTCAAGTTTTCGTTCTGGCAAAGGTATCTCTTATTTTTATTGCTGTTAGATTATTTTATTTTAAGTTGATGAAAAAGTCCTGAGATTTGATTTTAACATTGATGTTAAAATTGAATCAACGTATGTATTAGATTTCTTTTTGTAGGTTGTTAGACTTGAAATATTCTCAATTTGTACTTTCTATCCGAAGGAGGAGTGTTATTATTTCGAAGTTGAAGAATCTCCACCATTGATGAACAGTTTGTAGAGCTAATTATTGATGGAGATTGACTGTTATTGGAAGGAAATTGATAGGTTGTTAGTTATTGGTGGTGATTGACAGTTTGTTAGTTGTTGGGTAGATTACCATACCCCTGAATATTTTATTATTCAATTATTCCCTATTAAAAGACAAAAGCAGTAAGCCATTCAATTCAGGTTGACTGTTATCAAATGGCCCCTGAGTAAATGGACTACATCCAAGATAGAAAGAGAATCATCAAACTATAGAATCCCTATTTTTCTTTTAGGAAAATATTTTCAAATATTTTTTGACAATTCTAGTGATATATTAAAAAGATGGTCGGAATGTATCATTTCCTTGCGTGAAAAGTTGCTAGGAGAAAGACACCCACCCCATTGGAGCTCTTAGGTACAAGCTTTGTACTGTTATCCTGTATTCTTGTTTGGGCATTTTCCCTTGCTTTGTAAGCATTGGCATTTAGATAGCTTCTGCTTTGGAGCACACTAGTATCATGTTCGTCTTGTAATAAAATCTAGTTCTTGAGTAAAATATTTAAAAGAGTAAATGATCCAAGAAAAGACCAACCTAGTTCTTGCTTTGTAAGCTTTTGATCTTTAATAAAACCCAGTTCTTGACTAAAATATTTAAAAAAAGTGAATGATCTAAGAAAAGACCAACCTGAAATAGTGAAACTGCCAGCTCCTTTTTGCCTTTTGGGAATTCAGCTTTCAATACACAATGACCTAAAGAATTTTGCCACATCAAGCGCCTTCCACTGTGCTTGCTCAAGTAGTCCTTGAAAATGTTCTGTCTCACCATGAAAGATAAAAGAGATGGTGATTAAACACAAAGTAGCTTAATTGTTGAAGTAGAACTTCTGAACCATTTTTCACTTACCTGGTATACATTCAGTTAATGTGGAAGCCATACATCCATCGGTGGATATGTTGGTCAGTACCTTTACACAGTTACCAGACCAAAATTTACAAATTTTAGGAAATGGAACTTGCATAGCAGTGTTAACTTGTGCTCTTAATGTGTTATACCAAGTTTACAAATACTAAATTGGAGAAAGCAAGACCTACCCTGTTGTTAAGACATGGACACTCATTTCGATACCCGAAGGGAGTTTTGTCCTAGCTTGGGATGACTGCTTGAATGATTCATTTATCTCTTTTGATAATTCAATATCCTGCAAATGCATAGGACCCTACTATATTCAATGGGAAATCCGTACAGATGAACAGAACTAGCTGCAAAATACCATTAAGATCTGGCAAGAACACTTGTCATCATCAATTAATTACATCATGGAACTGATGACAGAATCTAGGGAAATTACCTAAAAGGTTATTTTGGAAAAATACATTTCTTATAGGGTTAAGCCATCTCAATTTTTTCCACCAAGGGATAAATAGTTCTGAATCATTGCTTTACTGTTCAATGTTGCTTTCTTCTTTGTGCTCCATCCATTTAATTATTTTGTTCAACTATATCACTGTTCAATGCTGCTTCTATGTGTTGGACTTAGCACAAACATTGATAACATTATTCCAAACCCAAGACCACAGAAATTATGATAGTAAATTCTGTAAAAAAGTCAAGCTTCATGAATTTACATCTTTATGCATAAATAAAACAGTTGTGAATAGAAATAGAGTGGACCATTTCCATATTAATTAGGCTACTTACAGAGGATGGCTGAACCAGATCTGATTTTCATCAAGGTTTGGTAGGGAAGATATAAAGAGACAAGTTTCTCTCTCCATAAAGGTGTGTAGATGTTGAGAATTGAAGGGAATAGAGAGGAGTCATACCTGGGATCAAATTCACTCCCTTAAGTTGATTGCTCTCTTATTTCCTTAATTTTCTTAAGGGTAAATTACAAAGACCCTCATGTACTATGGGGTCAGTGACAAAGACCCCCCTGTACTTCAATTTGCGACAAAGACCCCCTGAATTTTAGCCATTAGACAAAGACCCCCTCTGTTAGTGCTCCGTCAGTTAACTTTGAAAAAGATTCTTGTTCGATTGTTTAAAGTTTTCTAAATGCCCAAACTACCCTTTTCTAATTTATTTTATCATTTTTTTTAATTTATGAAAGTATCTTACTTTGTTTTTTAACTTTGTACTGTTCATTGTCTTCTCCAATGGAGAAAATTCATTTACATAAAGAGAGAGAAGAGACCAACAACATGAAGCCAGAAAATCAGAGTATGTTGTTTTCCTGGTGGCTTTATTGAAGCAACATATCTCCATTTGGGTCAATTAGGTTTTAAGAAAACATGGCAAGAAAAAGAAAATAGAGAAAGTTTAGTGGGGTATTTTGGTAATTTAATGCCTTCCATCATCTGACTTAACGACCGAAGGGGGTATTTGTCACAATGTAAAAGTTCAGGGGGATCTTTGTAATTTACCCTTTTCTTAAAGAATTCTTTGGAGCTGGAATCTGGTAGGAAGTCCTGTGGTTGCCAGCACTTCTCAACAGGCTTGAGGTAGATCTAGACATTCTTTTGTATCAGTCTTCCATGGATTTCAATATTTCCATCTTATGTGGTGGCATGAAGTGGGTTACTTGATTATGTACTTGGCAAGGAGAGCTGGAGGGATTCCTTAAATTCTCAACCCCCTAATTAAACAAAAGGATTTTAGCTTAAAAGCCTATATTTCAGAACTGCAAATTGTTACAAGCTTAAAAGCCTATATTTCTGAGAAGATTGGTGGATGAATTTCAGCAGGCCTCCAAATTGAAAGTCAATTGGGGAAAATGCTGTCTAGCCAGAACCAACATTGAAGGGGAGGATATCTAAGCCATGGCAAATCTGCTAGGTTGTGAAGTGAAAAATTGGCCTCTGGAATACTTAGGAATGCCCTTGGGTGGGAATCCGAAAGCTGAAAGBTTYWRGAAACYGGTGGTAGAGAGGTTCATGAAGAAGTTGGCAATGTGGAAGAGAAATTATATTTCCTTGGGGGGAAGAATTACCTTGATAAAATCAACCCTTGCAAACCTTCCC